TCCGAACTATTGTTTGTAGTCACTGTACATTTATGAATATTAATGAGCGCGCTCTTTTGACGAACCGCGCGTCGTCAATCTTTCGACCTAGGTTAGGCTGATTTTGAACAAAACCACGTGTCACCTCTGATTCAGCGTCCATTTCCATTCTAAGAGCCTAAAAGCATTATTACCCAAACAATACCATGGATAAAGGTAAATAGTAAAACATTGACGTGTTCTGGCGCTTCGGAATGCCATGTGTTATACTAGAATGTACAATTCTTTTGGTTTTAACATGGTTGGTAGTTGAAAACATGTTGACACACTTTTAAAGCCCAATGCCAATAATATGTGTTCATTTTAGTCAACGGATCGAATCGAAATTCAGTGGCTATATTCACAAACGTATCTGGTCGGAAATTTACGACACTGAGCAAATTTATTAAAAAATAAATTAGTAATTTTCTGGTACGCGCGCGCGAACGTGATTCGTGTGCCGTGAAATAATGGTGCTTGTGAGATGTTGTTTGATCACATTCCCGCAGTGTTTAGGTCTGTACACTATTTGGTTTAAAGATGCGGGTGGGGGTGGGGGCTACTTGTCTTGATTTTGAGTGGTTAAAAACTTGATTAGAAAAGATCAACGTTGATGGAGCCAAAAATCTTAAAATTGGGGGTCAAAACGATTGGCTCAACCATGAAAATTAGGGTCAAAATTCATAAATCTTGGTCTGGTCTATTCTGAGGCGTAATCATTGCTATTAATTATTCATGATATGCAGTGACGTTATGATAGATAGATAGATAGAATTTCTAAGAGTTTGGTCAAATGGATTAAAACTTAGTACACATATGCTGTTTGTCTAATTTCATGACTGAACCAATCAGTGCATTTGAATAAAAATAAGTTTTAGCATTTTTGTGTATATCTTTGATGAAGCATGGGTGCATAGACAAGGAAAACTTCAAACCGTTTTGTTGAAAGCACCAATGAGACAGACGAACTCTAACTACAAATTTTACGGCATTGTACTGAAAGTATGAACCCATGTAATTTACTAAATTCAGAGAAGGACCAATAAATCTTGATAGTGTATGTAATTATGTCAGTGGGGTGAATGTTGTTATCAAAGGCCCTGAATTGAAGGGTGAGCAGTGAACTTGCTCCCATGTACTCTCATTACACACAAATGTTTTTGAGACCTGAATAATCACACAGATACTACCGGTAATCTGTTTTATTTCATTTCTGCCGACTCCGATGCAGTTACCCCCCCCCCCCCAAAAAAAAAAACAAGACTTTGGTACATTTAGGAAAAAACATGCAAACATATTATAAGAAGAAATGAGAAAATTCTAGTTCAAAATTGAGTAAGGAACAAGTACCAGACAATAGTCTTGTTACACTAAGTTTCTCCAACCTGTTGTATTCAGTTTCATAATTACAAATGTTTTATTGAGAGCACTCTATGCTATTAAGTTTTGTTATGTATTAAAAGGCGGTAGTCGTCGTGCCGCACATGCAGGAGATATATGGGTCTCATATAAACAAAGATGGCGACTTTGACTGTTGCGCACATCAACAAGTACGAACTAAGACATTTCCAAGCTTTGGATTATGGGAAAATAAATATTTATCAACATATTAGCCATTACCCATCTTCTTGACACTTTCAATAACAAATGAGGGATGATTGGTCTTTCACATTCACTTTTCTTGCTCTTAGAACATGGCAGTGTTGTTGATTTTGTGCGAAAATTGATTTTGTACGACAGACAGACTTTATCTGGTAAAGTATATTAAATCTTCTAAAGCCATTCAAAAATAATCATTATATACTTATGTTTCAGACCTGCCTGGCCAAGCCGAATATTCGCAGCAACCACCTGCTTATGCCCAGCAGCCACCACAAGGTTATGGACAACCTGGTCCAGCCGCATACGGGCAACAATCAACAAATGTCACGGTGAGTATAAACATTATGTATACATACATGATGTATATATACATTTTTTCCAATGGATTATCCATGGATGTTGTGAAATATAAATTTTTGTAAATATTTATGAACATACATACAAATTGTGATCGCTAATTTGTATAATTGTTTTGGGGTTTCTCTCTGCCACCAGTCCACCCACCATATGGACTGGCAACTTTGATTTTTGGTCTGGCAACTTTTTTCCCATTTTTCTGTTTTTTCCTATTCTTTGAAAATTTTACCAAAATATATCCAAAACCATCTACAATTTTCATGAAATTGAATTGTTTTGGATTGGCAGTTGCAAATTCCTGGCTAACAGCCTGGTCATGATATTGTACATTTTATGAATATGTAAATTATACAATATTTACTAATTTAGGTTTTTAAATCCTTTGAAAATAATCTGTACATTGTGTATAACAAATATAATGTTCAGTGTTCTCCACAAGGGGTTTTAGGTGGGCGGCCCGGCCCGCCCCGCCCATCAAGTTTTACTGCCGCCTAGTAACTCTCAACACCCGCCCACCAACGTACATCCAGCTGAAATTATTTGTAAAAAGCTTGCATTGTTCTTCCCAAGCCTAAACAAAAGAGTAGTTGCCAAACCCTTTATTTTGCTATTGTTTCAAGAGTCCAATCATAAACAATGACCACTGGAAGTCTGCAAGCAGTTATCAAGTATATTCATGGCAATGTGTCAATCGCCTGAATTCATTGTCGCCCGACATTGTTGCCACTTATTGCTCACGGTACGCAACTACAGTGGTTTCAATTTACAGCTGTATTTTTAATAATCGTCTTCCAATCACGAAAGAAAGAATTAAATATGAACGAAATGTATATGCACAGAAAATAAACAAATATATTAGCA